GGCAGAATGTTTTGCACGTTCAAATCTTGCTTAATTGTATTTTCATTTTTGCTTGTCTTACACTTGGGGGAAAAAACACCAAAGGGTGTTCCCCCCTTTGTCTCCCTCCTTTTAAATGTTTATTTTCCTTTCTATTTCTTCCGTGTTTTATTCAATTTTGCTCCAAATATCTTCATCGTATCGCTTTATTCCTACATAATTAAAATATAATATTAAGTATAAAATAGTATAATTAATACTCAAAAGATGATTAAAAGTATTAGAATGTGAGGCAACAATGGTTAATTATATGCATTTTTTAGCCGAACATCAGGATCCCTCTCGACCAACTCCTAATAACAAGAATACCTTAATGAGAGAGAATAGAAATCATTTGGATTTGAGACGAAATCAGTGGCGGAGCTAGAGGCCAAAACAGGGGTTCGGTCGAACCCAATATATAGTTTTTGCTCAAATAATATATTTGTGCTAAGAAATTTATTAAGTATGTACAAACATTAAATTTAAAACCCAGTTATTAGCGCATGAAATCATCATTAAAAAAAACCTATAAAGTTAAAATCATGATTCCGCCTCCGGGCGAAACCATCCAAGATCTATCAAGAAATCGAGATTCCTACTTGAACAAGCTTTTGTATTTTTTTTCCACTAAAAGTTCTTGACTAGTGAGAAATCAAATTACTATAACTCTTTTTCATTGTGAAAAGGAAATGGATTTCTCTTAACGCATAGAGCAATGACTCTGCTCATAAAGTGTAACGATCTGATCGGTCGTTTTGACTATTAGCATTAGTTTCAGTATTCTGCGACCTCCCATAGCTTCATTTTATGTTTATTGATTTGCATGTGTGGTCCGTGTCATTTTCCGGAAAAGTTTTACATAAAAGTTTGAAGAAAATAAATTTTTTTAACTTAAAGAGGCTAGAGTTGACTACGGTCAACATTTTTAGTAAACTACTTTGGATCGGTATTTTGATTATTTCAGTAGGTTCATATGATATTTTTGGACTTATACGCATATTTGGTTGAGGTCCGGGATGACCCGAGCTCATTTTAGCGCGTTATGTGAAAAATTGTGAAAATGAGTTTTAAATTGAAAATTCTTGAGTTTTGATGATCGATTCGTGTTATTTGATGTTGTTTAATAATTTGAAATAGAAAACATGTTTGTAGGATGTTATTACACATATGTTCATGTTCGATTTGGAGCTCGAGGGGCTTGGGTGAGTTTCGGGTACTTTGCGGATGAGTTTGGAACAACTGATGCATAGTTATTCCATTTCTTGTGGCCAAGCACCCATTTTGGACACGTGGGACTAAAAGAGCTCGACACGACGAAGAGTATGTATCACCCACCCTGTATCTATAGAGGCCTAAAATGGCACAAATCCAAGATACTATAAGCATTAGAAGAATGGTTGGACAGATAATGGAACAAAGAGTATTGTATGGGTCAAAATCTGCCTAAGGGCATTCAACGCGAGTGATGTCGCCATAAATAATATGGCCGTGGTCGACTAATAACTAATTGGATCCATTGTCGAGCAACCAATTATGGTCGAGGTCGAGTATTGGAGGGAGTAGTAACAGCAAGTTTAGTAGAGAATATTCTGTTAGATATTCTCTATACTTACTTTTAGGGTTAATTGAGGGTCTACCCCTATAAATAGAAAGAGATAGATCAGATGGAGGGGGCTCTGACAAGAAATTCCTTGACAAAAATAGACTCTTTACATCTTAGACAGCAGATCCAAGAAAGGCTAAAAGTCCTTATATCTATCTGTCATTCATCATAGTCAAAAGAAGAACCATTTCAACCCATTCGAGATTGGGTGAATTATTCTCTCTATTTACTTTTGAGTTTTTCAAACTAATTGAATCTTGAATATTCCTCTCCCATTATTGATATTCGAACATTGAATTCATATCTGAAATTATTATTATTAGCTAGGCTTAACCCCTCATTTAATACATTTAATTAGTTTAGCCAAAGATAATTATTTTTTGGTCAAACAAGTATATGTGTCAAGAACATTTTATTTGGCGTTTGAGAGTACCAGATTATGTGGTACGTAACAACAAGCTCGTACTCGTGGCCAATCTTGACATCAACCAAATCAACCAATTGTTGTTGTTCTTTCTGTCCGTGAAAATACAATTAAAGTTGAAAAATAAAATGAAGAAAATAAAATATCTTCAGGCTGAGGCGTAAATATCTCGCTCTCTTTAAGGACATTTGTTAAGTTTATTACATTTTTGCAAACATATTCTATCTTTTAATGTCCGTTGATTTCTTTTTTCTCTCGTTGATGTCCATGGGCAAAACTAGAGGGGCGACCTGATTTGCCGGAAACTTACACTATATTACAAGGATTATTTTTTCCTATGATTATGGTTGAGACATGACAATTCGAGCAGTTTTTAAAAATTTAGGAGGTTAATATATAAAGTGCCAATAACTAGAAATGAAGGTACAGAGTGACAAATTGTGATAATTTTGTGACTATAAAAGCTTATCACTACAAATAAAATATAAGTTTAAAGTTGAATTATGTCAAATATAAAAAAAAATGACTTTCTTTTTCAAACAACATAAAATAAAACAGAATGAGTATTAAACACAAAAGAATCTTAACTCAGATTTCAGCAATTGCTAGAAATTTCAAGTTACAGGAAAATCATGCAACAGACTGAAATAAAGCAAAAACTGAGAACTCTTTTCAAAACATGCAAATAAACGGAAATAAAGAAAATCTTCTAAATATTTTGAATCTAACAATTTTTTTCACTTGGATCATTACTAGGAATTAATGAGAGAAAGGGAGACTTTAAAATATGGGGGAAAAGGCTTGCTTTGCTGTATTTCTTTTTTGTTTTTGGTATAGTATCGTGCAACGTGGACTACACGTGAAAGTTTGCTTTACTGGTTAGATTTTTTAATTTTATTGTTGGCACTAATAAACCGTGCATGGTAGATTTATTATTATAATCACAACAGACGACAGTTAAATGCAATATTATATTTAATATTTTAACTCGAATTGTATATATAATCAAACATCTGTTAATTACGTGAGCAATCATGCATATAAAAATAATTAAAAGTATAACCTGCAATGACGTCAGTACTGACACAAGCATGAGATATTATATAAACGTGTCTCATGTTGTAAAATATAAATAGAAAGTGAAAGTGAGAATTAGTGGATTCAACTCCTCCGCATTTTCTACTCTCTCCATTTCTACTTAGACGAGAGACACACAGCATGATTTAAAGTGAATGGTTGAGATTTAATTAACTAAAATAAGGTCTTAATCATGGTTAGAAAAATAGATATTACATATATTTATTTCAAAAAATTTGGATAATCTCACAATTCTAGCTGCACTTTAAAATATTTGGTCTTAAACATGTTATAACATATGTGTGATAAAAAGCTTACATTAAGAGAAAAATAGGAAATTTAAGTTAAAATTTTCATGGCTATCATTTTAGAAACGTTCATAATCAAGTTTGTTTGGATTTGAATATAAATCATTTTTTTAATCAAATATAAACCTATTTATGAATTTCGTAATTCAAATACAACCTTTTCTTCCACAAAATGATGCTTTGTCAGGAGGATAAGTTAAACATATGAAAATTGAAAAGAAAAAAAGAAGTTGAACATATGAAACGCATGGACCGATAGGAAATATTAAAATTGCAACTTTAATATGTTCATCCCTCCATTTTTCTCCCCTTAAATAACTAACATTTACCTGCACTAGAATTCCACCTCGTCACGTGCGTCTAATCCACACATATATATTTTTTAATATTCTACTAAATAAATTTATTTTTGTCGTGAGAGTTTGAGGTTTTTATGACATTTACGATTTTGAAATTCATGTCAAAAAGTACAATCGAGAAACTTCTTGTTACAAAACCATTCAAATGCATCACCGATGAGTGACTACAATTGAAAGGTGTAATCCACTCCCGAACCCTGCATAAATGCAGTATGATTTATGCATCAAACTGCCATCTCCCGGACCTTGCATAAATGTAGTATGCTTTATGCACCAAACTGCATTTATTTTCCGTCCGTTTTTCCCGAAACTAATGTCTCTCTTTTAGACAAATAATTGAAAACTTGCAACAGCTATGTGCTCAATTAGTTATACAAGACCAGAAACTTGCTGTAAGCAGTAAAATTGTTTCTAATTTTTAATTATTAGAAGAAACTGGAGCATGACCCTCGTGGTTTGGATTTGGACTTCTCTAATCCTGATTTAGCTACACCATTATTTATACTCAGAAATTAAAGTTTTTGTCTCTACATAGAGATATGACATCTTAACAATACTATTATTAGACAGAAATAAATTAACGTTTTATTAATTAAATAATAATCCACATTTCAGAATCCAGCTCTGTAATTGATTAAAGAAGTTAGCTCAAACATCTAGATCAACTTACTTTTATCGCAATAACATCACCGGTAGCATCTAAATATATCCTTAGTCATAATAAGTCACAATTATTAAAAGCAATATTTATACGTGGCATTAATTGTATGTCTGAATGTTACTCAAACATGTTTTGAACTGTCTAAGCCAAAATTGACGAAAGTACACGTAGAATAATGAGATCTCAGGTTCAATTCCAGGTAAATGCAAAACCACTATAAGATAAAACTTTTTTATCTGTACATGTCTTGGTGCACAGAGTTACCCGATACCTGTATTGGTTGAAAATACTAAGTACAACAACAACAACCCAGTATAATCCCACTAGTGGGGTCTTGGGAGGGTAGTGTGTACGCAGACCTTACCTCTACCCTGGGGTAGAGAGGCTGTTTCCAATAGACCATCGGCATCCTTCCCTCCAAGAACTACCCACCTTTGCTCTTGGGGTGACTCGAACTCACAACCTCTTGGTTGGAAGTGGAGGGTGCTTACCATCAGAGCAACCTACCCACCTTGAAAATACTAATTAAACTGTGGAATTAGTTGAGGTGCACGGAAGATGACTGGACACCACAAAAAAATACAAAGTCTATAAATACAAAGTCTATATTTACGAGTGAAACCCAAAGCTTTATTCATATAAAGCCACTTGTACCTTCGACTATCCCGCAAAAAAAGGCAATCCGGTGTACTAAGCTTTCACTATGCGCGGGGTCCGGGGAAGGGCCGGACCATAAGAGTCTATTGTACGCAGCCTTGCATTTCTGCAAGACGCTGTTTCTACGGCTCGAACCCGTGATCTCCTGATCACATAGCAGCAACTTTAGCAGTTACGTGAAGGATCCCCTCCGACTATCCCACACCCAACATAAATTATCTTCACCTTGTAGCAAATCTTGATTCAGCCTTCCCACAGTCTCTGTGTGGACTTTCATATACACACAACCTTAGGTGAAACAGTTACAGGTCTTTATTACTATGGAGAAAAACATACCTGGTAGAGAGGAGAACAAGAAGTCCACTGATTGTAGTATCGCAGAGGACAACAAGTCGGCTCTTCAGTTCATTGAAGAGGTGACTACCAACGTTGACGAGGTCCAAAAGAGAGTTGTTGCTGAAATCCTATCGAGGAATGCCAATGTTGAGTACTTACAGCGTCATAATCTCAACGGTCACACTGATAGAGAGACGTTCAAGAAAGTCATACCTGTCATCACGTATGAAGATATTCAGCCTGATATCAACCGTATAGCGGATGGTGATAAATCTCCAATCCTCTGCTCCCAACCCATCTCTGAATTCTTGACAAGGTTAGTCCTTTTCTTTTGCTTTACTGTTCTAACTGTGCTTGCCTAAGCCGGGGTCTCTAGAAATAGCCTCTTTACCCGTGTAAGGCCTAAGCCGGGGTCTCTGGAAATAGGCTCTTTACCTGCATAAGGTAGGGGTATGCAGGTAGGGGTAAGGTCAACGTGCACACTACCCTCCCCTGATCACACATATGGGAATGTACATTGGTGTTGTTAGTCCTTTTCTTTTATTTCGACAGAAAATGTGTATCCCTGTGTCATTAATATTTCCATGTGAACCCTTTGTCTTTAAATTTTGCTAAAGGGGCAATTTTTATGTGCAGTTCTGGGACGTCCGGAGGGGAGAGAAAGTTGATGCCAATAATAGAGGAAGATTTTGGGAGGAGATCACAGCTTTACAGCCTTATGATATCTGTGGTAAGCCAATCTGTTGGAGATTTGGAAAAGGGCAAAGGAATGTATTTCATGTTCGTAAAGTCTGAAACCAAGACCCCAGGAGGATTACTAGCTCGCCCTGTTTTAACTAGTATTTTCAAGAGGCCTCATTTCCACAACTCAAACTACACCAGTCCAATTGAGACTATTCTCTGCCTAGACTCTTATCAGAGCATGTACTCCCAAATGCTTTGTGGCCTCTGCCAAAACAAACAAGTCCTACGTGTAGGCGCCGTGTTTGCATCCGCTTTCATCCGTGCTATGCGATTCTTGGAGAAGCACTGGTCTCTACTTTGTAACGATATCCGAACTGGAACCATTAACGCACAAATTACTCATCTTTCAGTGAGAGAATCAGTGATGAAAATCCTAAAACCTAACCCAGAGTTAGCTGATTTTATTGATGCTGAATGCAGAAAAAGTTCATGGCAAGGGATTGTCACTAGGCTGTGGCCTAATACCAAGTATGTGGATGTTGTCGTGACTGGTACCATGTCACAATATATACCAACCCTTGAGTATTACAGCAGTAACCTCCCTCTTGTTAGTACCACGTATGCTTCCTCGGAATGTTCCTTTGGAATCAACTTGAACCCCCTTTGTAAACCCAGCGAAGTCTCTTACACGCTCATTCCCACCATGGGCTATTTTGAGTTCTTACCAATTCACAGAATCAATAATGAAGTCAAAAATTCTATCTCCATGTCCGAGTTGCAAGAACAACAACAATTGGTCGATTTGGTTGATGTCAAGATTGGGCAGGAGTACGAGCTTGTTGTTACCACATATTCTGGTACTTCCAAACACCAAATAAGATGCTCTTGACTCAGACTCTTTTTTCCATTTGTCTGTCCGACATGTCTGCTAATGCTTAGCTTTGCTTGGATTTGTGCCATTTCAGGACTCTATAGATACAGGGTGGGTGACGTGCTTCGGGTTGCTGGATACAAGAATAACGCACCTCAGTTCACCTTCGTTTGTCGGGAAAATGTAATCTTGAGCATTGATTCCGACAAGACTGATGAAGCTGAGCTACAAAATGCAGTGAAAAATGCAGTGAGCGATCTGATGCCATTCGATGCACATGTAACCGAGTACACAAGCTATGCTGATATTACCACCATTCCCGGCCACTATGTCCTATTCTTGGAGCTGAGAGTGAATAGCTCTACCCCAATCCCCCCTTCAGTGTTCGAAAATTGTTGCCTCAACATTGAAGAATCTCTAAACAGCGTCTACCGCCAGGGGCGTGCATCTGACAAATCTATCGGGCCTCTGGAAATCAGGATAGTGGAAACAGGAACTTTCGACAAACTCATGGACTATTGCATTAGTTTAGGTGCTTCCATAAACCAATACAAGACACCGCGGTGTGTGAAATTAACACCCCTTGTTGAGCTGTTGAATTCTAGGGTCGTGTCCAGTCATTTCAGTCAAACATGTCCAAATTGGATCCCTGGCGACAAGCAATGGAACAACATGAATTGAATAGCCAATTTCTGTTAGTACCTTAATTCTCTATCCAGAAAAAGAGCAACATTATTTTAGCTTTAGAAATACTAGTTAACATAAATCTCCAACCTTTATTGATTTATTAAGCATTAATATTTCTTTTATGTTCTGTATGCCATATAAGACACTGCATATTTATGATTCCTGAAGGTGTGCCTACACTCTATTCTCCTAGGACCCCACTTTGTTGTTGTTGTTGTATGACAATTGCAATTGAGTTATGTAAATTGCCATGGTTATAAATCGGTTTTAGCTATTGCGATTTATAAGTCGTATTTAGATATTGCGATGTATAAGTTGCATTTAGCTATTTCAATCTATAAGTATGTTTAGCTATTGCTAATTATAAGCCGCATTTAATTTATAAGTCACATTTAATTATGATTTATAGGTTGTATTTGACAATTGCAATTTATAAGTCCGTAGGGGATTACATAGTGCAAAATCAAACTTCACCAATAAACTGAAAGTTGATGTAGGACTATAAGTACACTATTTTGTCGAAAAACATAAATATTTAGGCAAAGTTGAATGACTTTTTTGTTATAAGAAAATTAATTATGTTATGAAATAAAAGCAATTTAGTAAAACATGAACAAGAACAAGTTATGAAATAAAAGCAATTTAGTAAAACATGAACAAGAAATAGAGATAGAGAGAAGGAAGAGTATTTCTTCTTCAATTGTGTGTATTTTTCTATCTATTACAAGACCTTTATATAGGCATGAAAAGTGAAGAAAAATTATGTCATTGAATATGTCATTAACATAAAAATATGTCATTGAATATGCTATTAAGCATTTGAGAAGATCATGGAGGAAGAGTAGACATCCACCATAATTTAATTTTTCTTATAATACTTCCCCTTGGATGTCCATAGATAATGCCTCGTTAAAACCTTATTAGAAAAAAACTCTATGGGAAAAAATCGTAGTGAAGGAAAAAGAGTACACATGTTTAGAAATACGCCTTTTGGTTGACTCGCTAAAAAACTTGCAAGGAAAACCCAGTGGGACAAAACCTTGTAAGGTAAAAAGAGTACAACACGTATTAACTCCCCCTGATGAAAGCATCAATTCACATCCTTGAGCCTTCGCATCCCAATCTTGTACAATAGTTTCTTGAAGGTTGACATCGGTAGAGATTTGGTGAACAAATCAGTCATATTATCGCTTGAATAGATCTATTGCACATTGATATCACCATTCTTTTGAAGATTATGCGTAAAAAATAACTCCGGTGAAATTTACTTTGTCCTATCCCCTTTTATGAATCCTCCCTTCAATTGGGCTATGCATGTTGCATTGTCTTCATACAAAATTGTGGGTAGTTTGTCACACTTCAAACCACATTTGTCTCGAATAAGATGTATTATAGACCTCAACCATACACATTCTCGACTTACTTCATGAATAGCAATTATCTCAACATGATTAGATGACGTAGCCACGATTGATTGCTTAGTCGATCAACAAGATATGGCAGTGCCTCCATATGTAAACACATAGCATGTTTGAGATCGAGCCTTGTGTGGGTCAGATAAATACCCAGCATCGGCATAACCAATAAGATCGGGACTGCAATCATTGCCATAAAATAATCACATATCGATAGTCCCTTTTAGATACCACAATATGTGTTTGATTCTATTCCAATGTCTCCTTGTAGGAGCAGAGCTATATCTTGTTAAGACATTAATTGAAAAAGTTATGTCAAACCTTGTAATGTTAGAAAGATATATTAGTGCACCAATTGCACTAAGATATGGTACTTCGGGACCAAGAAGCTCTTCATTATTTTCATGAGGTCGG